CGTACCAAGCGGCCGTGCACTCGGCTGAGTATTTGCTTATATGCATGCGTCTGCCGCTAGAGTCCAGAGAAAACTCTGGCCAGGCAGAGAACGGGGGGCGTTGCAACTAGCGCATACACAACACTGCTATCGATCGGTTTGTGTCGCCAATCAATACTTTTCTCTAAAGGTTTTCCTTTGCCGTTAACGTTTTCACCTTATCGATCCTAATCATACATATCTCTCTGTGGGAAGATTCTTTATTATCTACCAATTTTTTTGAATACAGTACGGTAGGATTTGAAGTGTAAAGAGCGGCGGGAAAAACGCGCCAGTGCAACATGAACGTCAGAGTTGTAGCCTTCGAAGAAAATCTGGAACGGATGGTCTACGAAGCTTTTGCAAACAGCTAGCTTTCTGTGAGTTCTGCATCTTCTAAGCAATCGCTTGCTACTGGCGCGTTACTTCGTACATAAAACGCGAACGGCTATCGCAGATGTAAGACCTTGAACTCGAGGTCACTTTTGCTGAGTGGCGTTGTGCTCATATCGTGGATATGTATCGCTGAAAACACATCGAAATTCACCGATTTCCTCAGCTTGCTTACAGGTTTCCCTTTATCCGCTTGCTCCTGGAGCTGCTGTATAAACGTCTATGTCATGGAGCCGCCCGCGGTGACTTCATGTAACTCTCAAAGCTCCTCCAATGGGTTAGCTAATGTGTTATAAACTTTTGGAGCAATCCATATTATGCATTTGTAGGTGTATTTTCCTCCTCTTTACAGACAAATTACTTTTAGGATGGAAAAGGTACGACGTCAGGCCGCGGATTACCTGCAGATAGATCCTTCTAGTACGTTCATAAACAATGCTACTCGAAACTTCGAAGATCTACCAGAAAATTCCTGGACACTATTCAGTCCTCAACAACAGAAGCTTCGCAGTCGTTTAGCGCAACTGATGAACGATCATGCGAACAGTCCGCAGCTTGCGCCATTAGCTCCTATGAGCATAGGCTCGGATCAGAGGTTTATTCACTCATTTTCATTAATCGCTTCGGTAGTAAATTCAGTAATTTTTCAGTGGCCCATACATGATGTCAATCGGGCAGTCATATCAAGCAGCTTAATTCGGCATCCGTGTGCTAGACAATCAAGGCGTTCGTAGGGTGTGTTTCCCGTGCTCTTAGTGCTCTTATCGTGACTGTTATTACCTTTTTACTACTTTGTTGTTTACTTTTATCTAGGTGCAGTTGTTTTTGTCGACAAGTATGGGAAGTCCTACTTGACGATATTTTTTCATTCATGTCGTTGCAACATTTACCTTTGTTACACATTTTTTCATGAACGTGGCGGCCTTTGTACCACAAGTTTTTGTTTCATGTAGGAGGCACATCCTTTGGATGCAGAGCATTCACTGTATAATTAGATAACTTTGTCAGTATATGAAGTGAAGAATTAACGGCTCCCCCACTTTCTTCACGATTTGGGGCGCGGCCGCGGCGAGCGCGGACGAGTCGATAGTGCCCGCGAACTGTGGTGGTGATGCGTTTTCAAATTTACCCACACAGTTCGCGGGCACTATCGACTCGGCCGGGTTTGCCGCGGCCGCGCCCCAAATCGTGAAGAAAGTGGGGGAGCCGGAAAATTCAACTAGACAGAAATGTTATTAGGGTCACTAGCAAATATCGAAATAAGAGCTTCTTTAGCCTGATTCTTTTCACATTTCTGTAAGCAAACTTGGAACATGAGACTTCTGTGTCCGTGCTCTTTTGTGTTTAGCCATCCCACGTTCATATTTCCGCGCTGCAGTGAGGTTCTTTGAATGAGCTCATTTTTTTCGAGCTTGATGTAAATCCAAGTTTTTGATTCTTAACGGAGTCGAAAGGATTTTTTGAATAGAAGTGAGTTCGCTTTAGCTTCGGCACTGGACCTGCCGGCCTGCTTTCGCCTCTCCATTTGGACAGTCACAGCCGTCGACTTGCGGGAAATTCTGAATTCGCTCGACATGTTTACATCAAGGTCAGCTTTATATTTTCAGTATACCTTTATCGTCCTGCGGCAACAGGTCATTTTTCATTCCACGTTTTTATGATCCACGATTTACTAGCTTGCTTGATTGTTGTAGTTTATCGACCTTAAATGTTCGTACTGTTCAGGAAGAAACAGACCCTCTTGATGCGGCTTCCCATCACCTGCTCATGCAGCAACAAATACCTTTAACCTCTCAGCAGCAACAACAACAGCAGGAATTGGAACGCATTGCGCAGGCTGAAACACCCCCAGCTGTGAGCAATGTGGAGTTGGCCTCCACCATGATTGCCAGTCTCATAGGGGAGCAGGTAGTGTTCTGATACCCGTCGCGAAGATTTCATTGGTATTTTGTACGTATTTGTTTATATTCTTTGTAATGTCATGTTTTTAAGCGCACATCATCTCCGTCCCCGCAAAACTACTCCGTAGGTGTACCTCAATCAACAACGGCTATGATGCAGCAGCGAATAGCAAATATAAAGCGAGACACGGAAGACTCTCTCGAGGGCCGCTCGAACGGAGATGATGCGGATCTAGAGTTACAGAGGCAACAGTTCTCACAAAAAGGTAGGAGCTAAGCGATACTGCTACTTTTGCGTGAAATGTAGTAGTTAAGATTAATATTTTGAATATCATTGTTTTTTACTGTATTTCTCCTCTGTAGAGCCGGCCTTATGGAAGAAAGGGGGAACCTCTGCCAGTTCAAAGTTTTTTTTTTCTTTTTTCTAGGCTAATGACAAGAGGCCGTTGTCTTTAGCTTGTTCTTGCATACATGCAATCTGTGTTGCTTCGATGCTTTTCATTTCAAAATTTGAACAAAAAAATTTCTGCGACAGTGGGATGGTAACAGTGTCCTCAAGAATCATCGCGTTATAACGGGATAACACCTGCTAGATCGCCTATTCTTTTTCTCGAACGTAGACAGTGTAGGAAAAAATTACGCTAACAATAGCATGCTGCTGGCAGTTTCAGTTTTAATCGCCAAGAGTATTTGATGTATGATTTCCATATTCATTCTGATAGGTCATTGGTCCCTCTTTGATTATTTCACATAAAATTCATATATCCCGGAATATCTCTCAAGCTTGGAAGAAGTATCACTTTTTTGCTCCGATGAGTTGCTTGATTGTGTTAGATTGCAAGGCGATTGAATGTCTCCATGAACCTCGTTTGACCACTACGAAGATCAATAGCCTTCACCAAAATCAGTAGGTTAGACGTGAGAGGATTGATTCCGTGAATTCACGAGCAGTACTTTGAAGACATGTGAGAGAGAGCTGAAGTCAAGCTTGCTCATTCCGTCGTTTGGTCGCTGCAATTGATGTCCAGCGCACCTTCTTGCGGCGTATTGCTAGCATACACCTTGAGCAAAGGTTTATAAGCATGAAAATGCCTAACATTTGATGCGACGAATTGAAAGCAGAGATGTTCATAGACGGTGTATCGATTCTGTAATGATTTCATCTATCGATTGGTGCCTCTGAGAAGAAATATTCTGGCATTGGACCAGTGCTGAACAAGGACAACAAACGGACCAATACAACTGAAAAGTTAACCAGTCGGTAGTGATTCTCGCAGGACAGTAAAGGCAGAGGAATCACGAGGGTAAAGCACCTCGCACCTCTGTTACTCAAGATATAAAGGGATGATAAGAGTTATCTGGAATTTCTCCAGACTCATAAATTGGTTTGCTTTTCAGTTCGATTTGAAGAAAAGGCCCACTCTGTTACAAACACATGACATCAAGGCAATACGGGTGAGCCGCATCTTAAACCTTGGGATACGCACCTGCCGGTTAGTGTATGCCGGATCTCATTTCTTTCTAAATTTTCTCAATATTAAAAAATCAGTTAACTCCTTCAAACAGTTTCACTACTAAATTTATATCTACAGCGCAGTTATTCGGGGGCGAAATATCGTTTATGTATTTCCGCCGTAGTGTACTTTGAAACATAAAAACATGCCCCCAATAAAAACCCCTTAAAAACGTGTCCGCTCACCGAGCGAAAGTGTGGCCACCCGTGCGGGCCACACTCGGCGTGATCGTGCGTCAAATCTGCGTGGTTACTGGTGTGTTTTTTTTTGTTTTTTAAAGAGGCCATTAGATTGGAACCAGAAAGCGTATGCCACCAGGATTTTTCGTTGTAATGCGAGACAGGAGTTGTAATGTAGTTCAAACCCTAGTTGAAATCCTTAATGAAGGATTCTCATAATTTGAGTACAAACCGCTACTTTAGTCATGACCGAAACATCAGTTTAGTTGAGTAGTCGCCCTGGAATTTCAGACCTACCCGACAACACCTATCTACATAACAAGGTCGATGAGTCTCCACGAAATATTCGTTTAAGAATGGACACAGAAAGCGGCTATTACAAGGGAGTAACATTGTCTTCTGCTGATAATCTCCCACGAATAGGTCTTCTTCTCCATAGCGTTAGTCCCACGCAAGTCGCAAGGTCCGCTGCTCCAACCAATAGATGATGTTATTAAATTCGTACTTTCTCAGGTCACATTGCTCTTTTGTGACCAGTTTAACTTGTTACCGTAATTTGTGCCTATCTTGTATATACTTTTTCAATAGAATAGTTCTTTAATAACAGTAGGACTTTTTTTGGTTTTTTTAGCGGGACGCCGTGTGTATTCTACAAAGGACAGCAACGATCCACTCAATGCTGAAATCGATGACGACATTTACATTGACACGAAAGAGTTATGTAAAAGAATAGCTTATGAGTTGAAACAACATTCCATTCCACAAGCAATCTTCGCTGAACGTATTTTGTGCAGGTTTGTAAACTTATTGTACCCGTCTTTGTGATCGAGACTTACTTTTGGCTACTATATAGAGGATATATTGCAGAAGCCAAGGAACATTATCTGATCTACTCCGAAATCCTAAGCCGTGGAATAAGTTGAAGTCCGGCCGCGAAACGTTTAGACGGATGTTTAACTGGGTTCAACAACCGCTTGCTATGCGACTGGGAATACTGGATATGTACAAGCAAGGTAATCATTTTGAAGACGACTTTCGTATAGAAGAACTTAACTTCCACGTAGCCTTTTCCACATAGAGTGCGTATTGGCGTTTTCTTACGGTAGCAGCTCGTACCTTTATTATCCACTCAAGTTTTTTTTGTTAGCAACATCATAGTCGTTGCTGCTCTGTACCTCACAAATATTTTGCATAATGTCTCCTGGAAGAGCGGAGTGGCAAGTGGCACGCTTACCACGCGAGCGGTCCGGGGATCAAATCCTGGGTCGTGAGTCGCCCGGGCCAACCAAGCCTTCCATCCCTCCGGGGTCGGTTAATTGGTACCAGACTTGTCTGGGAGGATAAAAACACTGACTTGTACATCGGCTGGCCCCCGCAAGTCATTGTATAGGCCACATCGCATTCAAACGCTACGAATGTACAAATGGAAGTAGAATGCGTGCCGCATCCCAAAAAGGGATTGATCAACGGCAAATGCTTTATCCTTTATCCTTTAGTGTCTCCTGGCATCCTCGTGATGATCTATTTGCCGCGAAATCACGATCGCTCATTAATCCAAAAGACTTGTACAACGTCAAGTCTGAAGAGGACACTCTAGAGACGCACAATTTACATGAATGTCAACCCTGAATTTAGGTTGCTTTTTTCGTGGTAAACAAATTATGAGAGCTACGGTTTTGCAGAGGGAGATGAGCAGTCACTCGTCGTGGGTGGGAAACCACCCGCTGGATGTGGGATGTCCCCTCCAACACCTGCTCAGAACGTGCGACATGCTTCTCGGCGAAGCCTTGGTGACTCCGACCAGCCTTCAAATAAGCGTCCCCGGCTTGTGTTCACAGACATACAGAAGCGAACGCTGCAGGTGAGTTGATACATACCATCCCTACTTTCAAGGACAACCACACAATTTTAGGCTATTTTCAAAGAGACACAGCGTCCTTCACGCGAGATGCAGCAAACCATTGCTGAACACTTGCGCCTCGATCTCTCCACAGTTGCGAATTTCTTTATGAATGCTCGTCGACGGAGTAGAATTGGCCCAAATAGTGATGAACCGCAGCCTTATCAACAGGTGTTGTTTTTATTCCTCTCTTATCTCGGGTTGAATGTTATTTTCTCAATAATGACACAGAAATAAGTGCATAGTTGAACGGTGAACGGTTCCAGGTGCGCCCAATTTCACCACCGCCAGATTCTCCTCCTTCGGCTAATGCAGGATCCGGTCCGATGGGTAATGGCCCGCCTGCTTCCCATCCGCGCAATCGAAGGCAGCCCGCTAGCATGCAACATGTGGAAGCTACCGTAAGAGGCCATTACTATTCTTTCTTGTTTACCATGAGATTTCAACGTACCAGTTGATCGAGCTAATTTTGGAGCTCACCTCAAATTGTTAATTTCAAAATCAGGACGAATTGAAAACAGAAAAAGTGGGAGGATTCATAGAGCACCTAAGTTTTTGAGAAGTGGCGCATTCATGATCGTGGGAATAATCAGTTGAGAAGAGAAAGAAAAGCAAGATATTGTAATATTTTGAGGTTGCCCCTTCCTCGTTCATCTATATTTGTGACAATACATTGTCATGTCTCTAGAATTCGTAGCTCTGGAAACCTTCACACTCCTTTTAGGTGAAAACAGCAATTCCATAACAGCTTAGCGCTGTTGGTAATGGGCTTGTGCTTTTTACTCTGTTATTCAAGAAATTTCCGCAGTGCTGAAAAGCGAAAGGAGTCATTAGATGGGTACAACCTATCTGCTCACGGTCTACACTCTTCACATTTGTTAACAGTTACGGATAGAAGCCGCCATATTTTTTTGCCATAGTAGGTCTTTTCTTTTTTAGTCTTTGTAGCTACCTCAAACTTCCTGTAAATTACTTTCTTGATTAATTGAAATGGAAAGGATATTCGAATTCTGATTTGCAAAATAAATAACGTGTAAGGAGTCGAATGCCGCAAGTGGAAGAGATGGGAAGAGCGCTCTATTTCCTCGACTCCCATTGTTGCTGCGGCTGATTACTTCATAATAGCATATTGAGATGTTTGAAGTATATAGAGTTCCGTGTAACCTTTTTGGGCACAATAGCACCACGTAATCATCTTAGGCGCGCACCATTTCATCTAATGTATGGTCTTTCTCACTAATACGATCCTGAGGCAGAGTGAGACAGGGTTGTGTCATAGGATTCGCCGTATCTCTGCCTTTCTATCCTCCCGACGGTTACAGCAGCGCCAACTTGGAGACTAGTGGCTTGAACAGGTGAAGATCCCTAGTGGCCACCGGTGAATGGCGAGTCCCACAGCGAAACTCCCCCCCCCCCTCCGTTGGTCTGGGCTGCATGGTGCGACTGCTGCGTACGGCTCTAATGGAGAGTAGTCGGGGATGCGTCCCCGGGAGAGGGATAACGACGGCCCCATATCTGCATGCAGATCATTGTGATGCGTTGGAAGTGTTGTGGGGCGCTCTTTGTCTCCTATCTACTGGGAGCTCTATACAAATGCATACGCGACCGCGCGACTCTGGGGCCTGGTTTTATAGGTGAACTGAATATGTAATGATGTGTTCACCCAGGTACCCTTGGAAGCACGTTCAACTGTCGCGTCCTCACCCTTTTGAGATTTTCGCGGCTCTCCGCTCTTCCAAAGGGTCTCGGTATGATATTAGGTACCGGATATCTTAGTGTCGCTTTTCTGAGTTCAGGAAGTTTTGGGGCCGATTACTATGGAAAATCAATATCTCAGAAAGTCCTTTTTGCTCATTAATACTGCGAAATATGTTGCTTATTGTTTTCTATTGTTGGTTCACAATTTAACTTTCCCCAATTTTTATACTTTTTTTTTGAAATTCCTGGGTCCAGTGTGCAAATTCGCATGTGTGTACCAAATGCATCAAAATTCTTGCTGAGAGCTGTAACCTCCGCCCACCAAACCAGCATTGCATTTGATGGAGGGAATACTACCATTTAAAATGCTCATCGGTTTTTCACAGTTTTCTCAAAAGACAGTGAAGTCTTTGAAGTGATGCCCGCAATCGTCGTCAAAAAGGTGGCCCTAGTTAAATCAGTCGAGACGGGGCTGCACCAGTCTTGTGCTGAAATGGTAGGACACCTTAGCAGTGACTGATCGATGATGCACAAACGCTTCAATGAAGTTGATTGCACAAGAAATTCTAATAAATGTGGCTTGTCCTTGACCTACTCACGTGTGCTCAAAAAGGGTGCGTTTTTGACCCTATGTGGCAAAAAAAACATTCCGGGAAAAATTGTCCAGTTGAGCTGGTAAGTAATTAAATTTTCCACCAACAAGTGCAGACCCTACTCTAACTAACTGTATACTTCTTTTGTCCAGGCCTAACTTTTTAGCAAGTGAGAGGGATGATTTGTCAGATGATGTCAAAACCGACCTACCTCTCTTTTTCGACTCAAAAAATTCCTAGCTTTAATCGTACGAGGTTTCCACTCATACTGGTAAATGGGAAAGTGCTAATGAGTCATTCGATGAATATGCTGTTTCACTCCCCGGATTCTGAATTAAAATATTGGTGGTCCGAAACTCGCGGTGAAAAAACGACACTAAGATATCCGGTACCTAATAATTATGTTGTTTGTGGACGTTAAGTGAGCAGGTCAAAAACATTGGTTGGCTACTCATCAAACATCTCAAAAGGGCTTCGGTTGGCCGTCGTGACATAATAGCCTACGAAGCGCAACGCTTCATAAGACAGTGAGAGGCAGGCGGCATCAAAGCAAAATTTCACACGAACTATTCTTTTGACGCTCATTTCTTCAGTTGCTGAAGTAGATCTGGGATCTGCATGACGGCTACTTCTGAAAAAACTATCAGTTCTACCCCGCATGCTTCTGTTGCGAAGTGGAAAAACCCGAATTTTAAAGAAATACGCATTTAGTCTTCAAAGGGGCATGGGATCGTCAAATTGCGATGGTTTGAGATTTGTAAAAAAAGTTTAGAAAGCATAAATACTTCTTTCTGCAGAGTGTTGAAAAAGTTTTGTGGACATTCACTTTTCTATAAATCCCCATTCGCATTTTTCCAGGTCAAAATGGAGGAGGTTTTCGATTTAAGATCCATTCGCATTTTTCCGTTCAAATGGGGGGGGGTTCGCGAGATTTTTAAGGACCTTCTTGCTTACTCGTTTTCGTGGGCAAAACTTTGACTCAGCAGAAGGACAGGGCTACTTGAATGTATGATAAATAAGACTTTCCTCAAATTGACTGCCTTCGCACTTTTGAGAGATGTTGTTTGACTGGTAGTTTTTTTTTTTTGCGGAAAATTCTGTTGGTGCTTTGAAGATCATAATTCCTTGGCTTTATTTTCTCTTTTTCCTTGGGAAACTTCTGGTTTGGCAGGAAGCTAAATACATCGACAGTGTTTTTATAAGAGCTTGATCGTTTTTCTGAAGGTAATTTTTGAAAAAATCCACTTTTTCCCAAGTTTTTCAGCTGTAACTTCGATTTTCAGCAATTCTAAGTTCATAGCTTGTCCAGAAAGCTCATTTTGGTGAGAGAGGGGTATATAAGGGAAAAGTATTTTCGAAGTTAAGAGATTTGGCTTTCCATTTAATGTATACTAAAATAATCTTGGATATAATAAAAAGCTTCCATTTTTTTTTTTTTTTTTTTTTAAAAAAAAAACTTGTCTTCTCTGGGAGCTGCATTTCTTCGAGCCGTGAGGATTCCTGCCTTTTCTATCCGCGTTCACCTTCCTTTGCTTGATTATTTAGTTCAACACGTTTGAGATAAAGGCCAGTTTTTCGGCTCGTCATGAAATCGAAATCCCAAAGCGGTTTGACGCCACAATAAGTCCGGCAATGAGTTCACGCGACGTGCATCTGTGGGTTCGAGCGTTCCATATTGAACGGACCTATTTTTTTTGCTAATTACCTTGTGAAAGTAATGACAGATGTCTGTCTAATCTCATTTGGACAGGCATGAAGATTGAGATGATAAGGCAATTGATGTTGGACTACGCCATTATTCTATGGGGTTTCATTGAGCGGCTCCATTAAAAAAACTCATTCATAAGTACCTAGGGTTATCCGGTTGCATCTTGGCCAGCGTTGTGTTTGAGCAATTTTATTTAAGTTGAGCGCCTTTGGAGGTCATCCAGATGTCTACACTAGCTGTATTGCAAGTATTGTTAGAGGTTGTCGTAACTTCTGCGGCATTTGTTGCTTTTCCAGACTTTTTCTTTGGTTACCAGCCAACATTGACATACACGACACCACCGTAATGGTCGACAGTTACTCTGTAGCGGCGGCAAACTTGGTTGCACGTTGGTTCAGAAATCCTGAGCTTTAGAAGTGAAAGCCTGAAGAGTCTCTGAGTAGGTTCGAATCATCGGGCTCCCCTCTTTCAGTTGGTTCGACGGCAACAGAGGCTTATGTTATTCTCTTGTGCCAGTTTTGCTGAACACACCGAGAGGGTCAGATCGTCCCATAATGAGCTTGGAGACTTGCGCTGGACCTTCTTCGTTATCTGTTATCAAGCGTTGCAAAAATAAAGTAAACTTTGCCAGAGGGGAGGGGGGGAGCTTTCAAGGACCTTCCTGTCCACTTGCCAAAATTATTGTTCACCAATGGCAGTATAGCTTGTTAGCAGCAGCTCTATATGAGGCGAAACATTGAGCTCTGAAAGTTGCCTCCCAGGTTGCAGTTCTGGAGTCGGCATTGCAATCCTTCATTTTACGAGATGCAGCCAGTCGTGCTTTCGCGTGTCGTTTACGCGAATAAATTCCGACCTGGGTTCTGACTCCATGGCAAAGTTGTCTGTTCAAGTGAGAGATAGACGCGTGTATTCAGGAATGCGTGCATGCATAAGTTTTCGCCGATTGAGATGGTGGTTAGTCGAAAAGTTATCCTTCAAATTTCACTTATTCGTGCCATGGCAATGTGAGGAAACGCGCCCAAATTGTGGACTCTGATAATCACTATGGGGCAGCGTCTGCGCAGATCACCGATGAACTGCGCACCAGGGACTCCCTAGCGAGCTTCAGAAATAACACTCTATAATTAGCTGGTAAAAAAAAAAAAAAAAAAAAAAACGAAATAAAAAATAAAAAAAAAAAAAAAATTCAGGCTTAGTCAGATTTGTGCTTTTCTTGCCTCACAAGATCTAGGCATCGGCAACCAAATAATCACATTGTGAGAGATAGTATGGAATTCATCGCTTCACGTAGGCCTTTCGCTGCGCCGTTTCGTTCGACCCCTAAGCGGGCTGCTGAAAGCAGGAACCGTCGAACATGCTCTCAATGAAGCATATTGTGGTTAGGCGTAATCACTGCCAAAATGCTATGGATTAAGTTGTTCTAGGAGCGGAACATTGACCACCGCGTCACGTAACTTCTAGCACTGAATGTCATTTCAAAAAACGCCCAGTGGTTCGACCCTCTCTGTCAGCCTTGCAATGATGAGTTTCAGAATAGGATAGTTCATCAAGAACTGTGCACTTGATTTAGTGTTACGTCTCGATTTGGCGTTCGCCTTCGTCAGAGCGCATGAACATAGGTCTAAAAGCAAATGTAACTTGTGCCGCGCTCAAACGCCTCTGCAAAGAAAGAACTCAAGACAGTCTCATTAGTTTAGTAAACTTCAAAGGTATTGATCGATAGAGGCATGGCAGTGCTTAGCTTAAATTCTGCGCTTGGACACGGAGGACGGCCACTCTCGTGCGCCTAACTTTAGTATGTGGTCCATTAGTAGTATCTCCCACCGATTTCTTAGTAGATCAAAGGTTACAAAAACTCAAAGATTTTGCAAAAGAGAGTAACATGCGCAAGGACTTTCCCGCCAACTAATTGTTAACTTTTTGCCTGCATGTCCACACCGGGAGCACCCATCGGGTTCAGCTTCTTCTATTGTGTGGAAAATTGGAGCGAATACTGTATTTAATCCAGTTTGTGTTGTTTTAAAGCTTTGCACATACATGGACCACACATTTGTTCGTATTTGACCTAAAGATGAGAAACAAGTTCGAAAAAAAGAGGTGAAAAATGCGATAAGACTTTCTCAAACAACCTAATATATTGTGATTGACTCATTTCATGTAGCGTATATCTCATTTCTATTTGACCACTAATTTTTTCCAACGCTAAGGCAGAAACTATTAGAGGTGCTAGACACTGGCGTAAATTCAATGTCGATTCGTTATCGCTAATAAGAACTTGGTTCAGGAAATACGACATTTCCTTCAGCCTCAATTATGTTTTACACTGCTGGCTTATTAATGACAGTCAAACCGCTTTAGTACATTTCGGTCCCTTTTATCGTCTGTTTTCGTACTATTTTCATTCGCCATTCATGAGTGAGTTCAGCGTAACCGAGCAACCGTAACCGCGTCGCTTAACACGACGACAAGGTGACATGCATGCGCGCCAGATTTTCTCGCGGATGAGAATCGTTTTCCCAAAGCTCATGGTGCTTTTTATATTCCAAAGCTGTTCCTGTTCTTCATCGTGTCCAGAAAATTTTATAAACCATAACTTGTAAAGAATTTTTTTGAAAAGGTAGTGATGGTTTTGGAAAAAATGCCAAAATAGAGTGTTGGAGTATACGTAAACCGGCTGTTGTCAGTATGTTAATTTTGTTCTTAATCACTAAAAACGTACCAGAAAGGGCTCTAAATTGTGCACAAACATTGATTTGTATGATGAGCACTGATATTCTAGGTGAGCAGCGTTGCGGAGTCAGCTATCCAGTATAGTCGCGAGCAGGCTGCCCATGACGCTGCTACTCTGCGATCCAACTCTATCGACGATGAAGACAGTTATAAGGTATTCCTTCATCTGAACTTTTGATTCCTTTTTGAAATATCATGCTTTCGTTATTTTCTACTACCATATTTTTTCATAGATGTATAAAATGAATGATCCTCTTGCTGATGATACCGGGATCTCGATCGTGGCGGGAAATGTGCACGACGTATACAATAATGGTAGTGATACAACCGTGGAGGTAAACTTTCATAACAATACCTTGTCAGTGGTTGTTTCGTACATAGTTATGTATTTTACGTGATTCTCGCTTCCAGTCGTTAACTTCTATTGGTACATCCCCTGTGAATGCCGTAGAGCATAGCGTGGTCAAGAAGGAAAGTGAAGGCTTACCTGAGGAAGCAACAGCACAATGATCGAGCTAAAGTTTACCTCACATCGTGACCAAACGCACCATTTTAACCACTTGCCATTGCATAGTCAGTTGAGTCGTGTATAGCCCACGGATTTCGTTTCGTTGTTCCTTTCATTATTACATTTGAGTCCACAGCGTGGTGTATATAAAAACGGCGCCGGGGATGCCGATAGGTCGGTGGTTTGTCGACCTCACGTCCTTCCCCTTTCTCTAAGTCAGCCTCATCGCACGATGGCGTGTTTTGCATTTTTCGCACGTTGTGTAGCTGTTTTTGTCACAGCGCATCGCTTTTCTTTTTTCGTTGAATGCACGCGTTTTCCGCGCTTCGCTGTGGCTGCGCACAATGGGCGGGTCTGCCATGATGATATTCTTTATCGATATGGTCGTTTGTTTTCAATCCCAAAGTATTCTCTCATTCAGGCTTTTAGCCTTCTCGGTGAATTCAGCTTCATTTTGGCCTCATTTTTACTCCTTGCGAGTTTGATCATTAGAAGAGGGCAGTATAGGCGTTTGTTCTTAATTTTTGTTGAACAATGTTTGGGAGTTTTTATCTTTTAGCTCTCTCTCTCTCTTGTTTAAACCCTCTATTGTGCTGTGATGTGTACTCCCGTTCAGTCATCAGAAGGTATTAGTGCGATATCGTAGTTTCGGTGTGGAGTCGAACAATCGTGCCGTCTTCCTATGCATCTTGACATGTCCCTCATCACTTATGAGCGATCGGATGTCCTCATCGCAAGGCTTAGCTGTCTGCGTTCTTCCTATCCATTCATTCTCTCTCCGTTTGTCAGCACTGTTCGTCACGGTTCTATTGATATTTCATTTTATATGTTCTATTTCTTCATTTGGCGTTATACTCACTACTCATAGTTCATGTGTGTAAAGATTGCATTATACAAACTTGTTTCTAATGGAAATAATAAATGTAATAGGTCATCATTTCTATGAATTGGTTTTTTTTCTGATGCAGGAGCCGTGCACATTGTTGGCCGTGGGCATAGTGAAGCATTGTTTTGAAATCGTTTTGTAATCAGAACGTTACGTGTTCTCTTTGTCATACTCCCTAATACTGCAGTGCTCTTCGCCGGTTACACCCCCTGACTTTTTAGATATCTGAATTGGTTGGAACTTTCATGCTTCCGCCTCTGATTACTGGCATATGTCGGGAGGTAATGCGTAGCAGAATAAATCTATATTTGATATATTTCGTAGCAAAATAAATATGTGTTGTATGGAGGCTGGAACCAACGAGCAGACTTCACTACTGGTATGGTAGGGGCAGGGTTTAGGTAGTTTCATAAGAATAAATGGCGCTTTTTAAAAATATTTTCGGGTTGCAATTTTCTAGTAAGTTAGAATCATACTTTTTTCAGTGGTAACCAACCAATCTGTATGAGATTGCTGATTCGTTTGCTTTCCTTCTCTTTTCCAGATCACCTCCCACCATAACGTTCATAACTGAACGCTTTTCCACACTTATTTTTTATCACGAATCCTGCCTTAAAGGCAGCGATTACGATAAAGTGGGAGCGCATCGGGGAAGCATATGCACCACACGAATCAGTTACTTGGCTGCCAGGGAAGCGAGGTGTGGCGCTTTCACGACGAAAGGTGCGCTGGTTGCTGAGCAGGACTTCGAAAGCACTCCGCCCCCAAAAGCGATCCGCCCACTAGTTTACTTGGTGATTTGGACGAGCTGCGTTGCCAGCAGCGGCACAACTGGAGCAACTCGATAAAGCGTGCACCAAACGCGTTGCGATGAACTCGTTCATACATCCGCTTTCTGAGTTGTTACCTGTTTATGAGTGACCAGTTTAGCTCCGCACGCTACCGCGCACGTGACACGGTAGCCTTCTTGAAACTGGATACCCTGTTGAAGGTCCCACCGCTGAAGAATGCAACTTAGCTTCTCATTTTTGCTGAACCTCACAGTTCCATACGAGCGATAGAGTGCACAGCTAAAGGCCGCGTTCATAGTTCGCGACTCGGGAGATTAGGATAGTAGTAGAGTAGGATATTGCGCTGACAAGATTGATATGTATTGACGGGAGATTAGGATAGTAGTAGAGTAGGAGATTGCGCTGACAAGATTAGATACGTATTGACGGGAGATTAGGATAGTAGTAGAGTAGGAGATTGCGCTGACAAG